AAGGAAGGAATGGAGAAAGGAAGGAAGGAAGGAGAAAGGAAATGGAGAAGAAAGAGAGAAGGAATGAAGAAAGGGAAGGGAAAGGAGAGAAAAGGAAGGAGGAGAAAGGAAAGGGAAAGGGAAGGAAGGAAGGAGGAAGGAAGAGAAGGAAGGAAGGGAAAGAGAAAGGAGGGAAGAGAAAGAAAAAGAAAGGGAAAGAAAAAGAGAAAGAAAGGAAGGAAGGGAAAGGAGAAAAGAAAGAGAAGAGGAGAAGGGAAAAGAAGGAAAGAAAGGAAAGGAATGGAAAGAAAGTGATAGCAGAGGGAAGGAGAAAGGAAAAGAAGAAGGAATGGAGGAAGGAAAGGAAAGTGCAAGGGAAGATAAAGAGAATGGAAAGAAAGGAGGAAGGAAAGCAAAGGAGAATGCAAGGGAGGTGAAAGAGAAAGAGAGAGAAAGGAAAGGAGAATGCAAGAGACGGGAAAGAAAAAGGAAAGGAAAGAGGAGGGAAGGAAAGGAAAGGAAGAAGGGAAAGGAAGGAGAATGCAAGGGAAGAGAATGAGAGAAAGTAAAGGAAAGGAAGAAGGGAAGAGAAGGAGAATGCAAGGGAAGGGAAAGAGAAGTAGAGAAAGGAAAAGAAAGGAGGAAGGGAAAGAAAGGAGAATACAAGGGAAGGGAAAGAGAAAGGGAAGAGAAGGAAAAGAAGAAAGGAAGGAGAATGCAAGAGAAGGGAAAGAGAAAGAGAAAGGAAGGGAAAGGAAAGGAGGAAGGGAATGGAAGGAAAGGAGAATGCAAGGGAAGAGAAAGGAAAGGAAAGGAAGAAGGGAAGGGAAGGAGAATGCAAGGGAAGGGAAAGAGAAAGGGAAGGAAAAGAAAGGAAAAGCTGGGAAGGAGAATGCAAGGGAAAGGAAAGAGAAAGAGAAAGGAAGGGAAAGGAAAGGAGAATGCAAGGGAAGGGAAAGAGAAAGGGAAGGAAAGGAAAAGAAAAGAAGAAGGGAAGGAGAATGCAAGGGAAAGGAAAGAGAAAGGGAAGGGAAGGAGAGGAAAGGGAAGGGGGAAGGGAATGGAAGGAAAAGAGAATGCAAGGGAAGGGAAAGAGAAATGGGAGGAAAGGAAAGGAAAAGGGGAAGGAGAATGCAAGGAAAGGAAAGAGAAAGGAGGAAGGGAAGGGAAGGAGAAAGGGAAGGGAAGGAAAGGAAAAGAAGAAGGAAGGAGAATGCAAGGGAAGGGAAAGAGAAAGGAGAAGAAAGGGAAGAGGAAAGGGATGGAAGGAAAAGAAAAGAAGAAGGGAAGGAGAATGCAAGGGAAGGGAAAGAGAAAGGAGGAAGAAAGGGAAGAGAAAGGGAAGGAAGGAAGGAGGAATGCAAGGGAAGGAAAGAGAAAGGGAAGGAAGGAAAAAAGGAAGAAGGGAAGGAGAATGCAAGGAAAGGAAGAGAAAAGAGAAAGGAAGGGAAAGGAAGGAGGAGGGAATGGAAGGAAAGGAGAATGCAAGGGAAGGAAGGGAAAGGAAAAAGGAAAGGAAAAGAAGGAGGAGAAGACAAGGGAAGGAAAGAGAAAGAGAAAGGAAGGAAGGAAAGAAGAAGGGAAGGGAAGCAACGGAGAATGCAAGGGAAGGGAAGGAGAAAGGAAAGCAAAGGAGGAAGGGAAGAAGGAAACGAAAGAGATAGGAAACGAAAGGGAGGAGGATGGAAAGGAGAAAGAAAGGGGTTCAGAGGATCCTTGTGTTTTGGAGAGAGATAGAGAGAGGGAAGGGAAGGAGAAGGAGAAGGAGAAGGAGAAGGAAAGGCGAAGGGAGGGGAATGAGGAAAGGAGGGGGAGACGGATGGCGGAAAGGCTGGGTCCCCCTCCCTCCTCGGGAAAGGAGGAGGAGGAGGAGGAGAGAGAGAGGAGGGCGCGGCCAAGGAAGGAGGGAAGAGGAGGAGGAGGAAGAGAACGAGGGTGCATCGCGGCTCCGCTCCCGCGCAGTTTGCCGGGGCAAAGAAGAGGAGGAAAAAGACGAGGAGCCGGGGAAGGGGAGGGACCCTCCTTCCTCCCCTCATCAAGGAAGGATCATACAAGGGAGACGGAGGAGGAAGAGGAGGAGGAAGAAGGAGAAGATGATGCGCGGATCCTGAGCGCCCCAAAGGCTCTCCTTGCCTTGGCTTCCCCCAAGATGCGGACAGGAGGAGGAGGAGGAGGGAGAGGCCCAGGTGAGTCTCCCTCGGGTGGGCGCGGATACCGGGACCCGCCCCTATTTTGGAGAGAGTGGCATCCGCGCCGGGTTCTAGTCCGAACTTCACTCGAGTTCCGCGTCGGGAGATCTTGCGGAGAGATCCGCTCTGGGTTCTAGTGCCAATGTTATGTGTTTGTGGTAACTCTTGTAAGGAATGATGTGAGTGTGAGAGAGAATGTGAGAGAGAGAGAAAGAAAGAAAGAAAGAAAGACTGAGCTGTTCTGGGTTCTAGTGTGAACTTTATATTATGTATGTATTATTTAATATTGACAACTCCTGTATGGGATGGTGTGAGTGTAAGAGAATGAGAGAAAGAAAGAAAGAAAGAAAAGAAGAAGAGAGAGAGGAAGGCAGGCAGAACTGCTCTGGGTTCTAGTGTGAACTGTATAGTATGTATATAATCATTTATTATTGACACTCCTGTATGGAACGGTGTAAGTATAAGAGAGAGGAAGGAAGGAAGGAAGGAAGGAAGACTGAGAGAGAGGGGAAGGAAACAAGGAAAAGAAGGAAGGAAGACTGAGCTGCTCTGGGTTCTAGTGTGAACTTTTTATTATGTATATATTATTTATTATTGACCACTCCTCTATGGAATGGTGTGAGTGTAATAGAGAGAAAAGGAAGGAAAAGAGAGAGAGGGATTGAGAGAGAGGGGAAGGAAGGAAGGAAGGAAGGAAGGAAGGAAGGAAGGAAGGAAGGAAGGAAGGAAGGAAGACTGAGCTGTTCTGGGTTCTAGTGTGAACTTTGTATTATGTATGCATTGTTTATTATTGACCACCTCTCTATGGAATGGTGTGAGTGTAATAGAGAGAAAAGGAAGGAAGAGAGAGAGAGAGAGGGATTGAGAGAGAGGGGAAGGAAGACAGAACTGCTCTGGGTTCTAGTGTGAACTTTTTATTATCTATATATTATTTATTATTGACCACTTCTCTATGGAATGGTGTGAGTGTAATAGAGAGAAAAGGAAGGAAAAGAGAGAGAGGGATTGAGAGAGAGGGGAAGGAAGGAAGGAAGGAAGGAAGGAAGGAAGGAAGGAAGGAAGGAAGGAAGGAAGGAAGACTGAGCTGTTCTGGGTTCTAGTGTGAACTTTGTATTATGTATATATTATTTATTATTGACCACCTCTCTATGGAATGGTGTGAGTGTAATAGAGGGAAAAGGAAGGAAGGAAGGGAGAGAGGGATTGAGAGAGAGAGGAAGGAAGGAAGAAAGGAAAGAAAGAAAGGCTGAGCTGCTCTGGGTTCTAGTATGAACTTATTATTATGTATGTCATTATTTATTATTGACCACTTCTCTATAGAATGGTGTGAGTGTCAGAGAGAAAAAGAAAGAAAGTAAGCCTGAGTTGCTCTGGGTTCTAGTGTGAACTTTACATTTATGTATGTATTGTTTATTATTGACAACTCCTATATGAATGGTGTGAGTATAATAGAGAAAAAAGGAAGGAAGGAAGGAAGGAAGGGAGAGAGGGGGAGATTGAGAGAGAGAGAGAGGAAAGAGGGAAGGAAGAAAGGAAGGAAGGAAGGAAGACTGAGCTGCTCTGGGTTCTAGTGTGAACTTAATATTATGTATGTATTGCTTATTATTGACCACTCCTCTATGAAATGGTGTGAGTGTAATAGAGAGAAAAGGAAGGAAGAGAGAGAGTGAGAGTGAGAGAGGGATTGAGAGAGAGGGGAAGGAAGACAGAACTGCTCTGGGTTCTAGTGTGAACTTTGTATTATGTATGTATTATTTATTATTGACCACTTCTCTATGGAATGGTGTGAGTGTAATAGAGAGAAAAGGAAGGAAGGAAGGAAGGAAGGAAGGAAGGAAGGAAGGAAGGAAGGGAGAGAGGGGGAGATTGAGAGAGAGAGAGAGGAAAGAGGGAAGGAAGAAAGGAAGGAAGGAAGACTGAGCTGCTCTGGGTTCTAGTGTGAACTTAATATTATGTATGTATTGCTTATTATTGACCACTCCTCTATGAAATGGTGTGAGTGTAATAGAGAGAAAAGGAAGAAAAAGAGAGAGAGAGAGAGAGGGATTGAGAGAGAGGGGAAGGAAGACAGAACTGCTCTGGGTTCTAGTGTGAACTTTGTATTATGTATGTATTATTTATTATTGACCACTTCTCTATGGAATGGTGTGAGTGTAATAGAGAGAAAAGGAAGGAAGGAAGGAAGGAAGGAAGGAAGGGAGAGAGGGGGAGATTGAGAGAGAGAGAGAGGAAAGAGGGAAGGAAGAAAGGAAGGAAGGAAGGAAGACTGAGCTGCTCTGGGTTCTAGTGTGAACTTAATATTATGTATGTATTGCTTATTATTGACCACTCCTCTATGAAATGGTGTGAGTGTAATAGAGAGAAAAGGAAGGAAGAGAGAGAGTGAGAGTGAGAGAGGGATTGAGAGAGAGGGGAAGGAAGACAGAACTGCTCTGGGTTCTAGTGTGAACTTTGTATTATGTATGTATTATTTATTATTGACCACTTCTCTATGGAATGGTGTGAGTGTAATAGAGGGAAAAAGAAGAAAGGAAGGAAGGGAGATAGAGAGAGAGAGGAAGGAAGGAGGAAGAAAGAAAGAAAGACAGACTGAGCTGCTCTGGGTTCTAGTGTGAACTTAATATTCTGTATGTCATGATTTATTATTGACAACTCCTGTATGGAATGGTGTGAGTGTCAGAGAGAAAAAGAAAGAAAGTAAGACTGAGGTGCTCTGGGTTCTAGTGTGAACTTTATATTATGTATGTATTATTTATTATTGACCACTTCTCTATGGAATGGTGTGAGTGTAATAGAGAGAAAAGGAAAGGAGGGAGAAAGGGAAGGATTGAGAGAGAGGGAAGGAAGGAAGAAAGGAAGAAAGACTGAGGTGCTCTGGGTTCTAGTATGAACTTAATTTTATATATGTCATTATTAATTATTGACAACTCCTGCATGGAATGGTGTGAGTGTCAGAGAGGAAAAAAAAGAAAGTAAGACTGAGCTGCTCCGGGTTCTAGTGTGAACTTTGTCTTATGTATGTCATGATTTATTATTGACCACTTCTCTATGGAATGGTGTGAGTGTAATAGAGAGAAAAGGAAGGAAGGAAGGAAGGAAGGAAGGGAGAGAGGGGAGATTGAGAGAGAGAGAGGAAAGAGGGAAGGAAGGAAGGAAGACTGAGCTGCTCTGAGTTCTAGCATGAACTTTATATTATSTATATTATTTATTATTGACCACTCCTCTATRGAATGGTGTGAGTGTAATAGAGGGAAAAGGAAGGAAGGAAGAGAGAGGGGGGGGGGGATTGAGAGAGAGGGGAAGGAAGGAAGGAAGGAAGACAACTGCTCTGGATTCTAGTGTGAACTTTATATAGGCATATCATTATTAATTATTGACAACTCCTGTATGGAATGGTGTGAATGTAAGAGAATGAGAGAGAAAAAGAAAGGAAGGAAGGAGAAAGAGAGGAAGGAAGAGAGAACTGCTCTGGGTTCTAGTGCGAACTCTGTATTATGTATATCATTATTAATTATTGACAACTCCTGCATGGAGTGGTGTGAGTGTCAGAGGGAAAAAGAAAGAAAGAAAGACTGAGCTGCTCTGGGTTCTAGTGTGAACTTTATATTATGTATGTATTGTTTATTATTGACAACTCCTGTATGACATGGTGTGAGTGTCAGAGAGAGAAAAGGAAGGAAGGGAGAGAGAGAGAGAGAGAGAGAGAGGGGGCTGAGAGAGAGAGAGGAAGGAAAGAAGGAAGGAAGGAAGAAAGACTGAGGTGCTCTGGGTACTAGTATGAACTTAATATTATATATGTCATTATTAATTATTGACAACTCCTGTATGGAATGGTGTGAGTGTCAGAGAGAGAAAAGGAAGGAAGGAAGGAAGAGAGAGGGGGGATTGAGAGAGGAAGGAAGGAAGACTGAGCTGCTCTGGGTTCTAGTGTGAACTTTATATTAGTTTATTTATTAATGACCACTTCTGTATGGAATGGTGTGAGTGTAATAGAGAGAAAAGGAAGGAAGGAAGGAAGGAAGGAAGGAAGGAAGGAAGGAAGGAAGGAAGGAAGGAAGGGAGAGAGGGAAGGATTGAGACAGGAAGGAAGGAAGGAAGAGGAGGGGATTGAGAGAGAGGGGAAGGAAGGAAGACAGAACTGCTCTGGGTTCTAGTGAGAACTTTGTATTATGTATGCATTGCTTATTATTGACCACTCCTCTATGAAATGGTGTGAGTGTAATAGAGAGAAAAGGAAGGAAGAGAGAGAGTGAGAGTGAGAGAGGGATTGAGAGAGAGGGGAAGGAAGACAGAACTGCTCTGGGTTCTAGTGTGAACTTTGTATTATGTATGTATTATTTATTATTGACCACTTCTCTATGGAATGGTGTGAGTGTAATAGAGGGAAAAAGAAGAAAGGAAGGAAGGGAGATAGAGAGAGAGAGGAAGGAAGGAGGAAGAAAGAAAGAAAGACAGACTGAGCTGCTCTGGGTTCTAGTGTGAACTTAATATTCTGTATGTCATGATTTATTATTGACAACTCCTGTATGGAATGGTGTGAGTGTCAGAGAGAAAAAGAAAGAAAGTAAGACTGAGGTGCTCTGGGTTCTAGTGTGAACTTTATATTATGTATGTATTATTTATTATTGACCACTTCTCTATGGAATGGTGTGAGTGTAATAGAGAGAAAAGGAAAGGAGGGAGAAAGGGAAGGATTGAGAGAGAGGGAAGGAAGGAAGAAAGGAAGAAAGACTGAGGTGCTCTGGGTTCTAGTATGAACTTAATTTTATATATGTCATTATTAATTATTGACAACTCCTGCATGGAATGGTGTGAGTGTCAGAGAGGAAAAAAAAGAAAGTAAGACTGAGCTGCTCTGGGTTCTAGTGTGAACTTTGTCTTATGTATGTCATGATTTATTATTGATCACTTCTCTATGGAATGGTGTGAGTATAATAGAGAGAAAAGAAGGAAGGAAGAAAGGAAGGGAGAGAGAGGAGATTGAGAGAGAGAGAGGA